TGTGAAAGAGCCTGGAGCGGCTGGAGCAGCGGCTGGCTGTGATGGTGGCTGCCCAGGAGACTTCTCAGGCCTGGTCTTCACTGGGAGAGGAGGGGCCGGTTTGTTTTTTGTTTCTTTTCTTTCAACCGAGCTTTGCTGAAAGGCAGCGGGCGACGTGCTGGAGCCTGGGGGAGGCTGCAAAGGGCTGCTGCGGTCCGGCGGGGGAGCGGAGCGGGGCAGGGGGGGCAGGAGAGGAAACAGGGGGAAAATGGAGGGAAGTGCCGGAGCGCGGGAGTGTGGCGAGAGCCGGAGAGGGGCCAGGCACAGGAAACGGGCAGGGGAGGGGAGAGCCTGCCCTTCTTAATGAGCATATCTGCCAAAATGGGCTCCCTTTCTTACTAAACTGCCAACCCAGCAACTCTTTTCTTCCCAGGATTAGGGGGAAATGTTCAGTTTGGGGAGAGTTAAAGGCCATTTGTGTGCGCCATAGCCCAGAGATAGCCCAGAGCCCTCGGCAGGAGCCAGGCTGGAGGGAGCGAGCCCCGGCCATTGGGGTCCTTTATTTCTTTTTGTTATTCAAACAGGGCTTGGGTGATGGCTGCCATCCCAGCCATCATGTAAAACGCTTCCCTCCAGCCTTTTGATATGCATGCCCCTGTCTGGAGGCAAAGTCCGGCTGTCTCCCCTGCGATCTCTCCACCTACTGGGGAAACGCACCTGATAAGGGCCACTCTGTTTTCTCAAGAAGGAAAACTGAAACCAGCCGAGCCAGGCTGGGGGAGCAGCCCTGGTCCTGGGGGCAGCGGGGTCCGGAGGCACGGCCCTGCCGGGACGCCTCGCAGGTGAGCACAGCCGCTCTGCCTGCTCTGCTCGCTCCGGGGCAGCCGGCGAGCTCGGCTGGGCAGGGACCGGGAGTCTCTCTAAGCAGTTAATATCATGGCATGGTCTTTAACCAGTTTGGCAAACCTTAAAGAAACTGGTATTGCAAAACTAGGGCGGGATCCGGAGTCAGCGGGTTCATTGTCTCGGTGGGGTATCGCTGCAGGGCATGTCCTGGTCACCAGGCAGTGTCAGGGCTGCCGCTAGCGCCAGTCTCTTGGGGAGCGTTGAGCATCGGAGCTGGAATTCTGCATTACTTTATTCTTCATGGATTCTTGTGCGAAGCGTATGGCTGTAATGCATGCCTGTATGTTTGCAGTGTGTTAAGCAATGCAAACACCGCGGTGCTGTTTTTCTCCTCCTCCCGTGAGACAGAACATGTGAGGGGAGTGCTCTGTTTCTTATTATTTTCGTAATGCCCTGTGTGCACATGTTGGTGTGCGTTTCTGTGAGGGGAGGCGAGGACAAAGGGCTGAGCCTGCCTCCTGAGCAGGAGGTGGTGAGGCTTGCGAGGACGGTGGCTCCTGCGGGAGATCCTCGGCAGTTGATGGGGCAGCGGGCCGGATGGCCCCCTTCAGCAGGCAGGACAGTCTTGAGCGTGCGGCTTTATTGCTTGGTGCAAAAGGCAGCAGCAATAGGAGAAGGGATGGGTACTGCAATCCCGCTGCCTCGGTGTAGGTTTGTGGGAAAGCAAGAGTTTAACTAGCTTTGCAGTTTGGGTCATGGTGTGATGTTCCCTTTCCTGCTTGCGTATCAGAGGATGGTGACGGGATGTCCTCGAGTGATCTCGGGTGGTGCAGTTGATGAAGTGCACGGAGCAAGCAAGCAGTGCGTATGCTCCTGCGTATGCACTGCTTGCTCCTGCACGTACACTGCAGGCCCTGCCTGAACCCGGTGAGCTGAAATGGCTGTGCTTACGCCGGTGCCTGCAGCCAGGTCCCGCGGACCGGCAGAGCCCTGGCGTGGGGGTCTTCAGCTCTTGCAAGCAGCAAGCAGTGCGTATGCTCCTGCGTATGCACTGCTTGCTCCTGCACGTACACCCTGCCTGAACCCGGTGAGCTGAAATGGCTGGGCTTACGCCGGGGCCGCCGCCCCGGCCCATGGCTGTGCTTACGCCGGTGCCTGCAGCCGGGTCCCGTGGACCTGCGGAGGGTCCCTGGTGTGGGGGTCTCCAGCTCTACCAGGGAGCGGTTGCTTCCAAAGTGAACTCTTTTTTCCCACTTTATAATTGGAACAAAGACGATGTCGGAGTTCCCTGAGCTCTCAGCAAAGCTGAGCTTGGCACATCGGGTGCTCAGTCCTGGCTGCACATCCCCCAGAGCAGCTGGCAGGGCTGCCCTTCCCGTGGGGTGAGATGAGAGACTCGGCCGCTGTGTCCCTTCCCCAGCGCAGGGCTGGCAGGGACATGCTCGCCCGATCGCCTGCTGCGGGCTGGCCGTGCTGAGCACTGGGCAGCTCCCGGGGCTGAGAAAGGAAAAGCCATTTTGAGGTGCAGGTTTGAACCTCCTGGGCTCAGGCTCCCGTCTGAGGCTGCCAAACAGGCTCCTGACAAAGGACCGAATGCAAAGGTCCTCTGAAGGGTCCTGGTGGGGTTTTGAGAGTGCAGATGTTTTGCAGGGCTGGGAGGTGGCTGTGCCTGCTCCTGTCCTCCCTGGATATTAACAGCCTCACGCTGCCCCATCTCCCTGTCCCCAGCCTCTCCTCTGGGTCACCCTCGTGCTAAGAGAGCAGCGTATCCTCTCACACCTCGCTGTATGGATTCCTGAGTGAGATTCGCTATTTTTTTTTAAATTTGCTGTTTTTTGAGGCAGTATCACTGCCGGCTATGGTCACTGCCGTTCTGCAGCATCGCAGGCTGGGGAGGGGCAGCAGACCCTGGAGGAGCTGACCCGGCTGTGCTGCACTGGGACGTGTCGCTGCATCCGAGAGCATCCAGGGCCGGTGTTTGCGGGGCCGGCATGCGGGACTGGCCGCCTGGGCTGGGGGCAGCCGGGGGCAGCCCAGCGAGTCTGGGCAGCTCCCAGGAATTGTTCGCCGGGTCTGGGAGCAGATGTGCTGCAGCAGTGGGATTTCTGCACACAGCTGTAGGGGTTTACGCAGCTTTAGACTCCCTCTGGTGCCATTCCTCTCCTTCTCATCCCTTTGTTGAGGAGATGTGTCTGTGGGGAGAGGCAGGACGTGCACCCGGGGGCTCTGCCTGTGGTGGTGGGTGCCGGACACCTGTTTTTCTTTGTGTTTGGATGTTACCAGGGTTTTAACGCTGCCCTTGGCATCTGAAACATCAAACCCCGACTGGTCTTTGTTTGTCAGAGGTGCTGACAGATGATCTCAAAGCAGAAATCTCAATGGGGGGGGGGGGGGGGGGGGGGGTGTCTTTGCTTCCTAACAGGGCCTTAGGTGGGTAAAGCCCTGCTTGCTCCTTCGCTTGTTGAGCTGAGTTCCGTGCTCCTGAAATGACTGTGCTGGCAAAGAGGCAAGTTGCAGCACAGATTCATAGCCCAGCAATGAGGCAGCTTCGTTAGCGTAGTCCCGAGTGCCTCTGGGAGAGCCTGGGAGCTTCCACTTCCAAAAACAGGATCCAGGGAGGGCACCCAAGGGAAGGCAGAGGCATCTGGGCGCAGGCGAGGCATGCCCCACCTCTCCCGGGGGGATGCCTGGCTGGGCTTTATCTGTGCAGCAGCAGCTCCCGGGGCGGGGGGATGCTGGCACTCGCTTCCCCCGGCCCCCGGGGCAGGGGGGGTGGTGCGTCAGCAGCAGCTCCCGGGGCGAGGGGACGCTGGCACTCGCTTCCCCCGGCCCCTGGGGCAGGGGGTGGTGGTGCGTGAGTGCTGCCGGCACAGACCCCTGCCCTGCCTCTTAGCCCTGGGGTGGGGGAGCAGAGGCCAGGAGGGGGGCAGGAGGAGTTTTCTCCCTTTGGGGGAGTTTAACTCACTGCAGGCACCAGGACTTTGCCCCCCATGGCGAGCTGTCTGCCGTGTCCCGCTGCCGCTGTAACAGCCCACCCACTGCTGGGTGTGCTGGGTTTTCTGGGCAGCTGGAGCACAGCGAGGCTGGTGCCTGGGGGGGTGGGATGTCCCCTGGTTTCTGCAGGGTGGCTGGGAAGTGCAGCTCCCCTCTGGACAGGGTCTTGAGCCGCAGCTGGGACCGCTCCGGCAGAGCCAGCCTGGGCTGGGCAGCGCTGAGCCCAGGAGCGCTCCATGGCGTACGGATGGCGGGGCCGGGCCAGCGCAGTCCTGGAGAAAAGCCCCGGTCCTTCCCTAAGGGCAGGCGGTTTGCATCTGGGGCCTCCGTTCGCTGGAGCTGGTGGATCTGGCCACCACATGGCCACCATGTTTGTGGGGAGGTTTTGTCCAGGTGCCCGTTAGCTCCCGGTGCCACTCCAGATGCGTCTCCCATCAGACCCCTCTGCTAAGGGCATAAGAAGTTGTGGCTGGCTTGAAGAGCTTACGCTGTCCGCTTTGCCTTCCCTGTGGCTTTCTGCACTGCTAAATTTCCTTTCCACTCTGGCTTCCACAGGCGACCATGAAAAAGGACAAGAGCCATGGCCGGGATGAGGCGGACTGCAGGGCAGAGCTGATCCTCATCAACGGGGACTGCACCGATCCTGCTAACGACACACCCACCCTTGTTCTGGAGGCGAATGGGAAGCCCAGCGCTCCAGGTGAGCTCTCGCCGCACCGTGCCCGGGATGTGCCATGCCTGGGATGCGCAGGGATGCACGGGGCCAGGGATCTCCCAGCCGCCATCCCGAGGGCTTGCTGGGGGCTGCAGCATCGCGGCCGTGGCTGGGGTCCCTCCGTGACTCCACTGGTTTCTGCTTTCCGGCGGCACATCCAGGCCATGGCGACAGAAGTGGTTGTGGAAATGGGTGCCACGCTGGGATGCTGGCTCTGCCCCTTGATGGTTTAACCCCCCGGGAGCAAGGGAGGCGGGGAGCCCCCACCCACCTGAGGAGTGCTGCCGGCCCGAGGGGCTGCATCACAGCTCCTAGGACGCTCCAGTTGTGGTCCCCAAATCCCACCTCTTGGGTTCATGTGGTCCTGCTTTAAATGAACTGGGACAAGCCCTGAATAGCAGTCGTATGGTTTCCTTATGCCTCTGAGCTTTCAGGAACAAAAAAGTACATAAGAAGGTCCCCACACTTGCTATTGGAGTCCCTTCCAGTTTTGGGGGCAGGTGGGTGATCTGGGACTGCTGGTGTCAGCAGTACCGCGATGGGGAGCCTCGGGGACACCGCTTGTCTTCCACTCTCGGCCACATTTCTCCAAGATGAGGTTTCGGTCTCTTCAAATCATGCCTTGCTGCTCGGAGCAGTCGCGGGCGGAGGCGTGCGGGGGCACGGCCAGGACGGCTCGCGGAGCCTGAGGCTGCTCTGCCTTGTCCCTGCGCAGATGCCGGGGGCCTGGGGCTGCCGTCCCTGAAGAACAACAAGAGGGTGAACAAGGGAGACCTCTCCAAGGAGGACCTGTCCTGGCCGCTCGCTCTCGCCGGGGCGCAGGAGGTAAGTGCTCACCAAGGCTGCTCTAAGACATTGCTGCCCGGGGGCTTTGTGGGCTGTCTGTGGGGGGCAGCTGGTGCCCAGGACCCTCGCCTGTTCCCCTCCGGGGCAGCTCTCATGCTTGGTGCCAGAGGAATAGCCCAATGGCAGATGCAATATTCATTTACAAGCATGGTATTTGTTTTCATTTTTAAATTCCTGATTTACAGTATGTCAGCAGCAGCAGGAGGGTGTGGTGTGTGATGTAGCAATGCCCACTATGTGTTGCAGCAGTCTAATTATTATGCTGATATTTTCTTTAAAAAGTCTTGGCCGTATTGATGGACTGAAGCATCTCGTGTCTCCCACTCTCAGGGTGGCCTGCTTTTAGACACTTTGGGGCTGGATCCCAGTTTTACCCCGCCTTGACCCGAGTTTCTCCCCCCCCCCCCCCCACTTTTGTTGACTAGGTTGACAAACCTCCAGGGTCCGGAACCATTTTTGCCTTCTGGCTTTATTGTTTTGACTTTGAAATAAAACCCCAAAGTTGGAGATCTGCCTGTGATGAGGCAGCTTCCAAAAGAAAGAGCCATAAATCTAACTGGGGTGAAAATTCTGCTTTCCCACTACGTTGGGTTCAGGGGCTCTTTACTTGCTAAGTCTCATTTCATTTTGAAACTCTGTTATGCCGGATGCAGGAAACATGCCCGAGTTAGACTGTTTGTAAACTGCGGCTGCTGAAACCACAGGGGAAGGGCTGCCCTGGGTGCCTCTGCAGGGCCGGGCTGTGGGAGGGAGCACACCCACACCTGTGTGAGCGCACCCACGCGTCTGTGAGCAGGGTGCCGTGCCTGGGATGGCTGCTCTGCCAGGGCCCGTGGCTCTCCCGGTGGCCGGTCCTGCCGGCTGCTGGCTACCGCTGCTATCGGTTACACCGCCGTGGCTGTAGCTGTGAGGAGGGAGGGTATAGGAGGGTATAGTCGAGGATGCACATGACAGCTGGAAACAACAGTTGATGTAAGCAGCTGCTGGTGGGCCGCTGCCCCCAGTGCAGGGTGCTGGGGGCTACAGCAATGGGTGCTCCTGAGCACGGCTGTGCAGCCCAGCAGAGATGCTGTGAAGTGCACGGTTGCACCAAGGGGCTCAGCCCGAGGTGCCTCCTGCAGCCGTCTGCGCTCCTCTTGCCTTCCCCGTGCCCCCGTCCCCAGGGCTCTGGTGCCCAGCCCCGAGGAGCGCAGGCTGTCCCTGTCCCCGCATGCTGCTGGTGTGGGGAAGGTGTCTGTACCACAGCACCTCTCTGTTCTGGTTGCAGGTGCGGCCCCGGGGCAGCGCCGGTTGGGAGAGCAGCCTCAGGCAGAAGCCCCCCGTCCGCCTCATCTTCCAGGCAGGGCAGACCCGGCATGAGATGAAGATCAAGGAAACGAACAGCGTGGAGACTCTCAGGGACCTGCCAGCTCCCCTGCGGGTGAGGGTCTTTGAGGGGCCAGGGCTTCCCTGGGCCCCCCTGGGGCTCCGGAGACCTGCACTTCTGCTGTGCCCTGGCCAAGTGGCTTCAGGCATGTTGCAGCCTCTCCGTGCCTCAGTTTGCCCTGTGAAGTGGGTGTGTGTGTGCTGTGGCTTGCCCCTGCTATGAACTGGGTGCTTTGAACACCCTGGGGTGAACTGGGGAGAGGAAAAGGGAAGAGAGCAAGTGGTGCACCGTTTTCTATGTGTCTTGCAAGTAAAAGCAGGGCAGTTCTCCCTCAGACACCCCAGTCCTGGGCCCTCCCCTCCGTTCCTGGCTGCGGCGGTGCCTCTGTTCCCTGGCTTCCGCTCTCTGCTCTCTGGTCCCCGGCTGAGGGGCTGGGGGTGACGTGGGGCAGGTCTCTGCTCTCCCTGCCCCTCTCCCCGCCTTCCTGCCACACTCACGCTCTGCTCCCTCCGCCACGCAGAGCTCCAAGCGGCGCCTGGCCACATCCATCCCCGTGACCACCATCGACCTGACGGAGGAGGACTCCCGGGACTCATCCCGGAGCAGCAGCACGCTCTCCGGCAGCAGCTCCCAGGAGGGCCAGAACGGCTCTGCCGAGCTGGGGGCCGAGGAGCCGGAGAGCAGAGATGCAGGGATGGCGCTGGAGTACCAGGTACGGAGGGGCCAAACTCTGCTCCTGCACTGAGATCCTCTGCCTGGGACGGTGCAGGGCGAGGACGAACCTTCCTGGCTTGTCCCAAGCCTGCAGGCAAGGAGACCCTCTGGAAACCTCACTGCTGCTTCTCCTGCCTCCTCTTCCCTGCCTGCCCTTCCCTGTGTGTCCAGGGTGCGACGGTGCCGGGCTGTCCCCATCCATCGGGCAGTGGCAGGGCAGTGGGGTCGGTGCTGCTCTGGGGACACCTTGCTGCAGACGGGCAGTGTGCGGGGACCAGCCCTGCCGAGCCACCACCTCTGCCACAAAAGCCTCCAAGGGCCCCCGAGAGACGCGTGTGCAGCACATGCCGGGCTGGCAGCCGTGCCCTGCCTCGCCGAGACAGGCAGTTGCGTGTGCAGAAAATGTTTCTGTCGGGGGATGCTGGAGAGGAATGAAGCTGCTGGAGCTGCAGAGGAGCGTGATTCAGTGCCTGCGGGCGTCAGGGCAGGGCCTGAGACTTGCAGGAACTGAGCAATTGCATCTTGCTGCATAGTTAGGTGCCTAATTGCAGAACAAAGCTGGGAAGGGGGGCTCTGCAGGCGGAGGTGACTGCTCCTGCGCGAGGTGCCTCCCTGGACACAACACTGTGCCAGCATGGCCCCCGTCAGGCTGCCTGTTGGGGGCCCTTGGCATGGTCACACCAAAATTCCCAGCTCTTCATTTTCTTCTCTCTGTTTTTGCTCTGCCCTGTTTCCTGCTCTCCCCTGTGGGAACAAGAGGAGCATGGGTGCCCTCTCCCTGGGGTGCAGCCAGACGAGCCGAGCTGTGAGCCCCGTGAAGGGGGCTTCCCTGTGCCAAGGAGCAACCTCGTCTGCTCGGTGAGCCCAGGGAGCAACCTCGGTGCAAAGTCCTCCCTGCAGCAGGCAGGACACGTAGCATCCCCTGCCGTGCTTCCCTCGGCCTGGGCCGTGCCTCATGGCTCAGCAGCAGCATGCGGTGAGCCGAGTTCTCCCAGACAAACGTGGCTGTGGTGGGCGAGGGGATCAGGAGAGTCCGTCTGCATTCCCTGGAGCTGCTGCCCGCCTGCCTTGCCCATTCCCATCACCGGGGCTGCTGCAAGCCCTGTGACAGCTGGAGCTTTCTTGCTGCTGGTTTTTGTGTGAGGGCAGGAAAAGGCTTCCCGGTGTTTGCACAGACCCTGGGAGGGCAGGCAGGAGTGGGCATGCATGGCGTGCCGGTGCCAGGAGGGCTGTGCAGGACGGAGCACGCACTGCGCTGTGCGTGCCAGGCGACGGGCTTGGTGTGGGGCTGGCAACACGCAGACCTTCCCGCCAAGCTCCTGCGTGGTGCAGGGCTGGGAGCCAGCACTGCCAGGGATGTGTTCTGCCATTTTTTTGAGGGAGGGGAGTGCAGCTTTTGTAGGTCATTGCGCAGAGGTCCACGCATGTGACTTCGCTCCAGCGAGTGACACACGTGGCGGAGCAGCTCTGCAGGGTGCTCCGTGGCCGTTCCCCCACGCTCCAGGGCTCTCCTGTGCGGATGCTCGGATAAAACGTGGAGTTTGTGCTTCTGGCTGATCTGTGTTGTCCTTTTTTGCTTTCAGGATGGGAAGGAATTTGGAATTGGGGAGCTTGTCTGGGGAAAGATCAAAGGTTTCTCCTGGTGGCCTGCAATCGTTGTCTCCTACAGAGCCACGGCCAAGCGCCAGGCTGTCTCAGGCATGCGGTGGGTGCAGTGGTTCGGAGACGGGAAGTTCTCCGAGGTAAGCCTGCTGCCTGCCCCTGCCTGCGCCCGGCTTCACCCAGCCTGAAATCCCCTCCCCTGCACGTTTCTGCCATCTCTCCCATTCCTGGGGCTGCCTCTGGGGGGTGTGTGCCCAGCTGCAGCCTCCCCAGGCAGGGACCCGGGTGTTCAGCATAGTTGGGCTCTGGCATGCTGTCGTGGCTCTAGTGTCTATAACTAATGACTGGCCACCGTAGGTTGGTGGCAGGATCCAGCAACGGGGACGTCTGCGTGGCCCCTTCGCAGGGTTTTGTCCAAGCCCTGGTCTCTAGGGCTGCCCCTGTTGCTCCCTGCCTGGTGAGGGATGCCCTCCTGGAGCCCCATCGCCCCTCTGCCATCCCGCGCCTCCCCTGGGCTGCAGGCAGGAGGGAGAGAAGCACTGTGCTGGGTGCTCGTGCCATGCTGGCTGTGCCGGCAGAGGTGCGGTGCCAGCAGAGGGTGCAAAACACCCGTCCTAGTTGCAAGTGTGATGTCGCCGCCTCTGCCCTCCTCCTTCTGCCGCTTGTCGCCCTCTGCAAAGCTGACGCTGGGCTTCCTCGCGTGGCTGCACAGTACAGACAAAGCCCCGGCAGTGCGGCACGGCTGCGGCCCAGCGCCCTCGGCTGCGGCGTGAGAGCCGTGCTGGGAACCGCTGTGCTGCAGGGCTGGGTCTGCAGCGTGGGGGGCACGGTGCCGTGGGGGAGATGGCTGAAGTGGGGTATGCCCATGCCTGCTGGTAAGCTTTTGTCGCTCTCTCCCAGGTTTCTGCAGACAAGCTGGTGGGACTGATGGCCTTTCGGCAGCATTTCAACTCTTCCACATTTAATAAGCTGGTCTCCTACCGACGAGCGATATACCATGCCCTGGAGGTAACCGTGGAGCAGAGCTGGGGTTGGATGGATAAGGTTCCAAGTGAAGCGGCCGTGCCCTGTGGGGGGCGGTGGGATGCAGGGAGAGATGGGCTGTGCTCGGGGTGGCTGATGCAGCTGAGCCAGTGAAGGAAACGCTTCGCTGGGGCAGGAAGAGATGCCCCAGATGGGAAGCTGTGTGTCTGCTCAGCCCAGGCGCCTGCAGAGCTCGGGCAATGTGTGGGGAGGTGGTTGGGGCCGGGGCTTCCCGGCTCTGCCCCTGCACATTGCTCTGCTTTGCATCTGCGGGTGGTTCTGGATAATGCCTGCGAATCACCTTGAGAGCGATCAGTGAGGGAGCTCCTGCCACAGTCCAGAATTAATCATTTCCCCCATCTGCTGGGGTGATGTGGACAGATGTCTGTAGGAAAACACTTTCTGTGCTGGGAGTATTTCCAAGTGCAGCCATGGGGACAAACTCTGCTTATCCTGGGGGATTCAGGAGTAACTGCTGCTGCTCCAGAAACCCCTGGGGCCCGACTCCCTCCAGGCGCTCTGATGCGTGGCAGCATTGCGGTTGCAAGGCAGTGTCACGCTGGCAGGAGGTGTCCTGGGCTGGTGCCAGATGCCCTTTGCAGTCAGGGCTGGCACTGAGCACTCTGTGGGTCTGATCCCCATCCAGGGGATGCATCATGTTCCAGGTTATGGTGCTGCAAACCCACAGGCACCTCTTCTGCCTTTTCTTTGCTTCCTGTTGCTTGCCAGGGAGCAGAGTCTGGGCGAGAGCTGGGGCTGGGCTGTCCCTGCTCCCAGCTAGATTGGGGCTGGTGGAGGACAGATGGGCTCATTGCAGGGAGGGGAGGCACAGGAGCATGGCTGAGGGCACACCCAGCGCAGGAATCTGGCAGCTGCCACTGTGCCGGGGACGCTGAGCCCTGCACACATGTGTGTGGTGGGGAGGGGGCCTGGGACCGTGGCCCTGGCAGGCATGTGGGCCATGCATGCTGCAGCCGGGCTGCTCCCCGGCCAGGGACCAGCCCTGGTCACCCTGGCCCACGCCATCCCTCCTCTCTCGGCAGGTTGCCCGGAGCCGGTCGGGGAAGACGTTTGCAGCCACCCCTGGAGAGTCCCTGGAGGAGCAGCTGAAGCCCATGATCGACTGGGCGCTTACCGGCTTCAAACCCTTGGGCTTCAAGGGGCTGCGACCGCCCAAAGCCTCAGGTGAGGTGGTGGCATGAACTGGGCATGGGGCTGGCGTGGGG